TAGGAACTCCTTTGCCTGTTAGGCCACACACCCCTAATGTAGCCAATACTAATGAGTGTCTGCTGTTGGGTGTGGCCTATTATGCAAATGAGTTACTGCTGGGCTTTTTCTACAAAAAGGGCCCTGATCATATCCATGAGGTCGCGAAGAGTCAGACTCGACTGTGCAACTGAACAACAACAACAACACTGTAAAGGTAATGGTGCCACAATCCCATATGTCCAGGTATTTATTTAGTTATTTTAAACATTTTTAAGCAGCCTTTCCACCTGACTCAAGGTCTATAAAGCAGATAACAATAAAACATTAGAACAAGATTTAAAACCACACCTGAAACAATTTAAAACAATTAAAACACATAAATGGGATGATGGTATGAGACAGTATAACTCAAGTGTGCCTCCATATGGAGCCCCTGGCCTCCCAAGACCCTTAGTGTGGTTATGCCTCCAAACTGGGGAGCTGGCTAGCGAAAATCTGGCTCTTTGCCACAGCCAGGCCCTCCTGTTCTTATCCACATGTGCTACAAAACTCAAAATGATGGTGCAACCTCATTTGGAATACTGTGTGCAATTCTGGTCACCACACCTCAAAAAGGGTATTATAGCATTGGAAAAAATGCAGAAAAGGGCAACTAGAATGATAAATGGGTTGGAACACTTTCCCTATGAAGAAAGGTTAAAGTGCTTGGGGCTCTTTAGCTTGGAGAAACGATGACTGAGGGGGACATGATCGAGGTTTACAAGATTATGCATGGGATAGAGCAGGTAGAGAAAGAAGTACTTTTCTCCCTTTCTCACAATACAAGAATTTGTGGGCACTCAATGAAATTGCTGAGCATTCGGGTTAGAACAGATAAAAGGAAGTACTTCTTCCCCCAAGGAGTGATTAACACATGCTTGGGGGGGGGGCAACAGTGGGAGGGCTTCTAGTGTCCTGGCCCCACTGGTTGACCTCCTGACGGCACCTGGTATTTTTGGCCACTGTGTGACAGAATGTTGGACTGGATGGGCCATTGGCCTGATTCAACATTGGTTTCTCTTGTGTTCTCTTATATTAGACACACACTCCAGGCAGAGGTTGGCTACTCATGACCTAAGGCCATTTTGACAAAAAGCTATGTAAACAACACAGAGATGTAGCTAATTTTACCAACATTCAATTTGCCTCCTTTTCCCCTGGTTGCTTTGCTCTCTGTACATATGCATATTAGCCAATCATTAACTAGAGAACGTCAAACAATTCCTTTTGATTGGATCTCTTCCACATGGGATCTGACATCACATTAGATCAAAGCAATATTTTCTGCTCAGAGAGGAAGTGTTTTAAGTCAGGATGTCCAACTCCTGTACTGACTGACTCACGGTTTCCATGGGTGCACACTGCATGCCTACCACCACCTTGGAGAGAAGAACCTGGCTCTAAAAAAATGCTTTTGTATGGACTTAAATATTTTACTTATAGGCACTTTGTTTCTTAGCATAAGGCAGGCCTACCTGAGATAAAAAAGAAAGTTGTTCAAGATTACACAAAAAGAGTTTGTGATGCCTTTTTGATAGAATGCTTGCTCACTTTCTCCGTACACTTCAGTTGCAGTATCACAGGGCTATCAAGAAGATGGCAGCACTCCTGTCCATGGAAATCGACGACAAAGACTGTTGAGTGCTGGACAGCCCTGTAGCCAGGAATTTTTTTCAAGGCCCCCTCCATTAAATTAAAGTTAATTGAATTAAATAGGCACAGTGAAGGGGAGGGAGCTCCTTACCCTCGCAGCTCCTGCTCTGATTGCCCGTGTCTACCCAGAGAGTTGGGTTAGTAAATCCCAGCTTGGGTGAGACCGAAGCGAGGTTCCCCAGGAGAAAGGCAGGGCTGTCAAGGAGGCTGTGTTGGGCTTGGGGGAATGGCGGTGGGTGGTGGGATGGCAAAGCTGGCTGGGGCAGGCTCTGGCTGGCTGTGCCCTCTGCTCTCCTCCCCCCTTGTGCTACCTGGCAGCCAGTGGCAAGGGGGCTACATGACTGAGGCAGGACAGGCTCAACCAAGCGAGCTGGACCCAGGAGGAGGAGGAGGAGGAGGAGGAGGAGATTGGATTTATACCCCACCCTTCACTACCCAAAGGAGTCTCAGAGCGGCTTACAAACTCATTTCCCTTCCCCTCCCCACAACAGACGCCCTGCGAGGTAGGTGGGGCTGAGAGAGCTCTTGACAGAAACTGCTCTTTTTCAAGAACAGCTCTTATCAGAGCTACGGCTTGCCCAAGGTCATCCAGCCAGGTGCAAGTGGAGGAGTGGGGAATCAAACCCGGTTCTCACAGATTAGAGTCCGTGCACTTAACCACTACACCAAACCCAGAAGAGCTCAAAAGTGAAATCCCCAACCAGGCACCAGTGTGTGTGGGGGGGAGAGAATCAGAGGGATGGAGGGTGGGAGGGAGACAGAAATCAGAAAGCCGGACCCAGAGAGAACAGTAGGAAAGGGAGATCCACAAAACAGACTGCAGGGGGAAAGGTCCCGATCCTAGCCTACTTACTTGGACGTTTTACTGCAGTCAGCCGTGAGGGTATGCAAATTTGATGGGGTGCTGCTGATTAGATAGGTGGCACCACCCTCAGTGCCCCACCACTGGCTACGGGCCTGGCAC